CTTTCAAATTTCATAACCATTTTTGAAGACATGTTATTGAACGTGACACACAAAACCAAATATATTGTTGGTGTAATGATTAAATGAACTAGTTGTCATTTTCAGGATGCACAACTACAACCAACCCACTTCTGTAAGTGAATTATTTTGAACAAAATGCTGTCACATCAGTACAAGTGAAAGAATTCATTATAGCAGTGTATAGCTTTGCTAAAAAGGAAAGGGTTATTGAGTGCTTTATCATAGAAATTGCATTAATAATTTACTGATCACTTCATATATAATATATAATCTGTGCTGCCACCTCTTTGTATTAAGAGAGAGCACTGCACTGAACAGATGCTATCGTTCAAACGTGATATTAAATCAAAGCCCACTCAATATCTCAAAGGAGAGCATAAAAGTTTTTAAAGAACTATTCAAGGAGAGCAGGGAGATATTTTTATGCATCCTGACCAATATTCATTCCCCAACATTCATTTCCCAAGTAATAATTAAAACAGATAAACTAGCCATTTATTTTATCTCTGTGGGATTTAATGGTGTTAAATGTGATGGTTTCTTTCGTAGATAAGTGATGACTACATTTTAAAATAACTTCATTCATTGTAGTGCACTTTAGGATGTCTTGAGGTCATGAAAGACATGATAAAATGTAATTCCATATCCCTTTACTTATTAAGCATTTATATATGCTGATACATTCTCTCTTTATTTTGCAGTGGAGCCTTGTCAAGGTTATTGGTCAGAATGGAGCAATACATTTACACCAAATGTGCTCCAAAGAGGAGATCAAGAATCACCAGAGAATCTATGTCATTCAAATGAATCGTTTAACAATATTCAGTGTGAACGTGTTGATGCCTCCAGCTCGCAAGGCTCGACGACAGCTGACAATGTGACATGTGATCTGCAAGGACTCAAATGCACCCCGCCACTTTCTGATAATGGTTTCATGTGTCATGACTACAGAATTCGAGTATGTTGTATAACCATCAACACAACTACCACCCCAACAACTACCCCAACAACTACCCCAACAACTACCCCAACAACTACCTCTACAACTACCCCGACAACCACCCCAACAACCACCCCAACAACTACCCCAACAACTACCTCTACAACTACCTCTACAACCACCCTGACAACTACCTCGACAACTACGTCAACAGCCACCTCTACAACTACCCCAACAACTACCCTGACAACCACCTCTACAGTCACCCCGACAATGACCCCAACGACCACTTCTACAACTATCTCCACAAGACCCTCTACAATCACCACCACAACCTTCACAACCACCCCCACAAGTATCTCTACAACTACCCCGACAACATGCCCTTGCAGCATTACTGCAAGTAAACAGGTAAGATTTTGCTCGAGAATGCATGTGATAATAGTTTAGAGTGCAGATTGTTCTGCACAAATGAACTTTACAATTTTGATTCATGAATAGGGCAGATAAAGTAAAGAAAAACCCAAAGATATTCTGCAAGTACATGAAGGGCAAAAGAGTAACTAGGGATAGAATAGGGACTCTTAAAGCTCAACAAGGTTGTCTATTTGCAGAGCCACAAGAGATGGGTGAGATCCTAAATGAATATTTCTCATCAGTATTTACCGTTGTGAAAGGCATGAATGGTGGTGAACTTGGGGAAATAAATATGATGTCTTGAAGGGAGTCCACATTATGGAAGAGGAGTGCTGCAAGTCTTAAAGCACATTAAGATAAATAAATAAATCCCTGGGACCTGATGAAGCGTATGCCAAGGCTTTGTGGGAGGCTAGGGAGGAAATTTCAGGGCCCCTAACGAGCTATTTTTACTATTGACACCCACAGGTGAAGTGCCTGAAGATTAGAGGATGGCTAATATTGTGCTATTATTCAAGAAAGGTTGCAGGGAATTCCTGGGAACTATAGACCAGTCAGCCTAATGTCTGTGGTGGGTAAGATGTTAGAAAGGATTCTGACAGACAGGATCTACAGGCATTTGGAGAGGCAAGTACTCATTTGGGATTGTCAGCATGGCTTTGTGCATGGGAAATCGTATCTCACGAACTTGAGTTTTTTGAAGGCGTGACCAAGAAAATAGATGAAGGCAGTGCAGTAGACATTGTCTGTATGGATTTTAGCAAGGCCTTTGACAAGCTATTGCAGGATAGTTGTTGAGTAAGGTTAAATCTCACTGGATCTAGGGAGAGCTGGCCAATTGGACACAAAATTGGCTTGAAGGTAGAAGACAGAGGGTAGTGGTAGAGAGTTGTTTTTCAAACTGGATGCCTGTGACCAGTGGTGTGCCACAGGAGTTGTTCCTGGGTCTACTGTTTTTGGTCATGTATAAAAATGATTTGAATGAGAATTTAGGAGGTATGGTTAGTAATTTTCCTAATGACACCAGGATTGGTGGTACAGTGGACAGTGAAGAAGGTCATCTGGGAATACAGTGAGATCTTGATCAACTTGGCCGGTAGGCTGAGGAATGGCAGATGGAGTTAAATTTGGAATATGCAAGGTGTTGCACTTTGGTACGTCAAACCAGGGCAAGACTTACACAGTCAATGGCAGGGCCCTGGGGATTGTCGTAGAACAAAGAGATCTAGGGGTACAGGTTCATAGTTCCTTGAAAGTGGAGTCATAGGTAGACAAGTTGGTGAAGAAAGCTTTTGGCATGTTTGCTTTCATTGGTCAGAGCATTGAGTACAGGAGTTGATACGTCTTGTTGCAGCTGTACAAGACGTTGATGAGGCCACATTTGGAGTACTACATGATATTAAACTAGAAAGAGTGCAGAAAAGATTTACTAGGATGCTACCTGGACTAGAAGGTTTGAGATATAAGGAGAGGTTAGATTGGCTGGGACTTTTTTTTCCTGGAGTGTAGAAGACTGAGGGGTGACCTTATAGGGGTCTATAAAATAGTGAGAGGCATAGCTAAGGGAGATAGCAGACTGCTTTTCTCCAAGGTAGGGGAGTATAAAACTAGAGGGCATATATTTAATGTTGGGGGGGAGGGGGGCGGGGGGAGGTGGGTGGGGTGGGTTTGGAATACAAAAGGGTCCAGAGGAGCAATTTTTTCACACAGAGGTTGGTGAGTATCTGGAATAGGCTGCTAGAGGTAGTGGTGGAAGCGAGTACAATATTTTTCATTTAAGAATCATTTAGAAAGGTACACAGAGGGGATAGGTATTGAGGGATATGGACCAAATGCAGGGAAATGGGACGAGTTTAATTATGAAAACTGAATAGCATGGGCAAGTTGGGCCATAGGGCCTGTTTCAATGCTTTGAACCTCCATGACTCTATGAATAATATTTCTACTTGAATATCCTCTTTGAAGATAATTTACTTCTCATAGTCAACCATAATAATATGTCACAGCATTCTGTAAGAGGTCATTGAATTTTCCTAAATTTTTGTCCTTCACCTAGCAATTGAACTGAAGGAACAAACTTCAAACTAGGGATGTTAATTAATGCTTTCTATAACTATTTATGCGAATCATAGGACCTTCCTCTGCCATTCGAAAAGATCAATGCTGATCTGATTGTAACCTCAAATCTGCATTATTATCTACCCCAATATCATTTGAGTTCCTTGCTGATAAAAAAATCTATCTCCTCCTGCCTTAAAAATAATCAATGAATCTACCTCCACCTTAGTCACGGAAAAAAAGAATTCCACAAAGTCATGACCCAATGACAGAAGAAAAACCCTCCTCATATCTATCTTAAATAGGAAACACCTGATATTATGTTTTCTAATTCTACTCCTTCCCACAGGGAAAACATCTTTTCAGCATCTAACCTGTCAAGTTCCCTGGGAACTTTTATGTTTCAATAAGATTACCTCTCGTTCTTCTAAAATCCAATGGACACAAACCCAACCTGTCTAATTTTTTCCAGATAAGATAACCGCTTTGTCCCTGGAATCAATGGAGTGAGCCTTCAATTAATGATCAACTTAAAGATTTTTCTGAGCTAAGGAGGAATTTTATTGTTTACCAACCCCAAAATAAAAATAATGAACACAATTTCAAACACAGGCACATAGAAGCACAGGTTTAATGTTTAAAAAGGGGAGAATGTCTAGTATAGTAGGAAGATGAAAAATACACTATTTAAATTGTTCCTACTGCTCTTGAGTTGTTGTAGTTGAACCTAAGATCATGACTCACTTGTAGTCAATAGCTTGTATCCTCTGCAGTAGTGAAATTTGTAAAATCCTGAGTTCTTAATGAATGGAAGTTTCTCTGATTTATTTTATTGTTAGTACTAGCTTTTAATTGTGTTGGAAAATAAACAGGGGAGAGAGGCAGGGAGAGAGGGAGCGGAGGAGAGAGAGAGAGAGAGAGAGAGAGAAAAAGAGTCTTCCAGTTCTTTATACATCCATTCACTTTTCCTTGCACCCTGTTGCTTTGCAAAACAGCGATTGAAATGTGACTCATTTGTGTATTTTCGGGTCTGGGTCCATTGTCTTTCCAAACTGGATATTTGCACACAATCCATTCAATTCCAATACATGCAAATTTTCATACAGGTATAAATTAAAACAGAGCTGAAACAGCCACTGGGCCATTCTGCACACACTGGCTGACTTGCTGATTCATTGGCTTCTGTTTTCAGAAGCTGGTGCCACTCGTTCTTCAGAAGCCTGTACAACAGAAAAAAAATTAGAGGGAACATTGACTACAAATACTTTATTCTGTTAAAACTCTCTACATAAGGAGATTTTCTTCACTCTTTGAATGATAAACCTGAGTTTAGTCAGAATATTTACTGTCCTCTTGCACAATGCAAAGGTTTCAGCATGTTCTCACTTATACAATGTACTGTTATGACTAAATCCTCGACAAAATTCCTCAATACATGACACTTGCAGATGGGATACTTCAAACTGTTAAACTCTCAGGTGAGGAGGGTAAATTGACTCCCCTTCTTTATTCATCCACGTTGTTTGCAACAATGTTAATTTTAAAAGGGAATCAGAGATAGTAGGAACTGCAGATGCTGGAGAATCC